GTTTCTGTCATTACTTGCTATCCACTGAATTTTGGTTTTGTGGTTTTTTTTTTTTCTTTTTCTGGATCCTTGCGTTTTGTCATTAAGTCATTTATTTGTTTTCCTTCTAATTTCTTTAACATAGGCACTTAGAGCTATAAGTTTGCTCTTAGATTGCCTTTAATGTGCCCCAGAGGCTTCATGTGTTGCCATTTTCATTTAATTCAAGACTATTTCCTTTCTTGATTTCTTCAGTAATGAGTGTTAATTCTTCACAACTTTGTGCACTTATGAGCGGGTTTTTTTTTCTCTGTCTATTTTATCCCTGGATGCTGATCAAGTATATGGCCTTTGGTGTTTGGGTGAAAAACCCTGGATACCTGTTAAGTCCATGTGATATAGAATTCACTTAATTCTGATATTTCTCTTTATTTTTCATTCAGATGACCAATCTTTTGGAGAAAGTGGAATGCTGAAATCACTTACTCTTTATGAATTGATGTCAGTCTGTGTCCTTAATTCCAGTAGTATACTTTTATGAATTTGGGCACACCAGCATTTGATTGTAACGTTGTATTAGTTACTATATTATTGGTGTGATAAAACCCCATGATCAAGGTAACTTAAGAAAGCATTTGATTGGGCATGTGGTTTCAGAGGGTTAAGGTCCATGATGGCGGAGTGAAGCGTGGCAGCGTGAAGGCATGGAGGCAGGAACATCCAAGAGCCCACAGCTTCCAACTGAAGCAGAAGGGACACTGAGGACGATGTGGATCGTTTGAATGCGTAAAGCCTGCCCCAGTGCCTTCCTAATCCTTCCCAAATGGTCCAGCTGGAGACCAGATACTCAGGACACGAGCCTATAGAAACCATTCTCATCCAGCCCACCGCGAATGTGTCTTGGCGAACTGTTGCCTTGATTAGAAAGAAGTTTTTCTCTTGTGATGAGCTTAGCTTGAGGTCTGTTCTGTCAGATAGTAGGTCAGGCCCCGCCTTCTCCTGATGGCATCTGAGTGCTTGCCCGTCCTGTCACTTTGGAGTGGTGCTGATCTCTAGCGCTGACTGTCTTATAGACACTGGCAAGAGGGTTAACTCACTCAGCCATCCTGTCTTTTGATGAGAGAACTGAGGTTATTCGTGTTTAACGTTACTATTGAAAGGTGCTGATTGCAGTCATCTTGCTGTGGGTTTTTTTTTTGTGATTTTGTTTTTTTTGTGATTTTGTTTGTTTCTTTTTAGTTCTTTTTATGTTTCAGAAATTATAGCTTCCTTTTTTTTTTCTTTTTAGTCTCTTGACTGTGCTTCTTTCTGCTTTTCAGTCTAGAATGTTTATGACTTCCAGTATTTTGTTTAGTGTTAGTCTGCTGGATATGAATTCTTAGCTTGTTTGGATACTGGAAAGTTTTTCTTTGTCCTCTGACAAAGAGAGAAGGTGGTTACAAAGTAGGTAGTGCCGAGTACTAGTCTCAGTTGGTCTCTTAGAATCTGGAGCTCCAGGCTCTTTTGGTTTCTAATGTTTCCATTTAGAAACCAGCATTGCTCTGATGGGTTTTCCTTTGTGTGTGGCTTGTAGCTTTCAATCCATTTGCTTTGCCGGGTATGCTTAGTGTTCTAACTGCAACACGCTATGTGGAGTTTTCCAGCCTTGTCTGGTCTTCTGTGTTCTTGTATGGGTGTGTCTTTCCTTAGTTTGAGGAAGCTTTCTTCCGTGATCTTGTTGATGACCTGGTCTATGCCATTAACCTGGGATTCTTCTCCCTCACCTGCACCTATAGTTGGAAGATTTGGTCTGTCCCTGGTGTCCCGCAGTCACCGCTGTGCCCATTTAAAGCTTGAGATCTCATTCCTCTGTTTTATCCTCACGTTCTGATAGTCTGTCTTCTCCTTGATCCTCTCTGCCTGCCTGTCTTCCCGCTGGGTTTTCTAGTTGACTTGTTGAGTTTTTCATTCCAGTTTCAGCTTCAGTTCACTTCAGTATTTCTCTTTCTTCACTGAAATCAGTTTTCAAACCCTGTTGTCTGTATGATTTCGCTCGGCTGTGTATTTGAATTGTCTTGGACATCGCTCAGGTATTTATCGTTTCCTTCATGAGGTTCAGTGAGGTGTTCATGTCTTTCTAAATTCTTTGAGTTCTTCGACAAAGGTTATGATTATTTTCATTTTTGCGTTCGGGGGTTCATCTAGGCCATTGAAACATTTGATTAGAAGACGTTCTGTGGGCCCGGCGAGTGGGACGCGAGGCAGAGACATGCTGTCCTGGCCTTTCACACTGGTTTAGTTCTGTGGTATGACCTGGACTTGTAGACTCCTTCCTTCAGTTGTGACTGATACTAGTCTTCAGTGGATTAGCCCAGTGCCGGAGCTAAACCAGGTAAAGCTGCTGTATGAGACAGGATCTCACCATATAACCCAGCCTGGATTCAAACTGGATATGAGTCTCCTGTTTCAGCCTCTTGAGTGTTGGGATCACAGGCATGCGTGCCATGCCCAGTTGAATATGTTCATAATTTAGAAAAGAAACACGGAGATGAAATGACTCGTGTAATTTGTGGACATCATATGGAAAGAAGGAAAAGCCGTTTACTCTTTTTCCAGTTACCTTCTGTCGTTTTGGAGCCGAAGTGACTCTCTTTAGAGAACCTGCTAGTACCTGGCTCAGAGATGTCCCAGCTCACTGTGCAGCTAAGGCTTTCCTGATGCTTCCTGATACTTTGATCATAAAACATCTGGAGCCTTGGAGAGGCGTGTATGTGTGTGTACACACTTAGCAGATGATTCTATGTGTGCAGAACTCAGCTAAGGTTCATTGAGTCAGATCTCAAGGTCTGAACTTGATTAACATAGGGAGGCTAGGTTGTTCAACAGGCAAAGGTGCTTTCTACTAAGCCCAGCACCCTCGTCCATCCCTGGAAACCCACATGGTGAAGGGTGAATGAACTCCTTTTCTAGGGCGGTAGCATTGGAGGAGGTTACCCTAGGAGCGTTCCTCAGGCCAGCTGGACTAGATTTGTAGATGGACGTCCCTTTGGCTTCATTTTGTTTGTTGTATCAAGAAAGCATCCTTTCCTGAGTTACCCAGAGCTTTACAGATAGATCTAAGTGTGTTCGAGGGGAAGAAGAGAAAAGAGGAAGGCATGCTCTCTCCTATGCAAAACCTGAATTTAAATACGTGTGTATTCGTGGTGTGAAAAGAGGGACTACTTAAGGAACGGGACCAAGGGGAGGTCCTAGGTGTCGGTGTGTACAAAGCACACGGTGAACACACACGAAACGGATACGAACGAAGAGACCGGTATTGTATAGTCTTTAAACAGTATTTTTTTTTTTAATCTGAATGTTTCAAACCTCCAAGTTTAATGAATTCACAACAAGCAGTCAAAGCTTCACAACAAGCTTGTCGATTCACAACAAGCTTGACTTGTGAGAGAGTTTTAATGATGGCCCCTCCATTCCACTGTAAGAAATCTCAAGTTTGCTAAAGAAAACCTCTTAGCATTTAAAAATGGTTTGCTCATGGTAGCAGTGGGAGCCGGGGAGAGCGCAGAGGCCCAGGACTTGTTCTCTGTGCTGGCACTGGTCTAAGGCAGCTCCTCTCCTTCCTTCCCTCTGTGCATTCCTCCTCAGAAAACTGAGCACTCACTGAGATAGCACAGGAAGGGTTGCCACCGCTCCTGCCTAGAATAAGCACCTGGTAAAGGTTACTATTGTGACTTTTAAGAATGATACTGGCTACATGTTTGATTGTGATTGGGAAATCTAAAATAAGCTAACAGTGAGTAAAGCTTGAATTATAAAGGAAAAGTGGTTTGGTTTCGACTTGAGTGTTTTATGATTTATTATTTAAAATATGGCAATATGACACACACCTGTAATCCTAGCACTCAAGAAGCTGAGGCAGGAGGATTGTAAGATAGAGGTCAGCCTGGGCTATATAACCTAACCCTTTCTCAATTTTTTTTTTCTTTTAGCAGAAATGGGTTAAGATTTACATGTGGTTCTCTAGTCCAGTTAGGTAATATATGTTGAATTTATGGAACCAAAGCAGTAGCAGAGATAGACAACTGGTTCCATTCTTCTTGAAGGTAAAAGAGCTGTTGAAGACAGACCCTTTGTGGAGAGTGCCTCACTGATCAACACACCAGACACCTCAGCAATATCATCCCACCTTCTCTGAAAGTGATTCCTGGTTATTTCAGAGCATAGTGATCTTTCCTAGAGCTTTCTTCCGCTCCAGTGGCCTCAGAGATCAGAGCGTTCTCGCTTTGCTTTGTGGCTCTCCCCTCTATGGGGCAGCATGTGGGGCTTCCCATGGTGGCCTCAGATCCTCGGGAGAGGTCCATGCATGACCAGGTAGACTTTGTGTCAGATCACCTTTTGTAGCCCTGGAGAATAGATAGAGTAGGAAAGAGGACCCCAACCCCAAGCAGTACCCAGACAACTGGAAATGGTCAAACTGTCCTTAAGAATTCGTGTTCAGAGCCATACCATACATGATGAGGGGCTCTAAACAGCATTGTTGTTGAAGAGAAGTGACACAAAACCAGACAACGACGAATACTGTCTTTAGTGACCACTGAGGAAATGGAGGGGAGTGATAGAGGAATTCCTAAAGAGGCTGAGGGCAGGATCTCTCACCTATAATCCTAGCACTTAGGACTGATGCAGGAGGATTGCTGCAAATTCAACCCAGCCTGGGCTACACAGTGAGGCCTGTCTCAAAGCAAACAAAAGCCCGGGGTAGAAGGTAGTACAGCCATTTTAAAATATTGAGACTTTCTTAATTTAGTAGATGCTTGCTGGGCTTCTGTGTACAGAACGATGCTGATGATAGCTAGTGTTCAAGGGCCTGCTTGTTTCTGGACCTGTTTCCTCTGGTCAGTGAAGTAGCCTCAGACCTAGGCAGTCATTTACAGTAAAAGTGGAAACCAACAGTCACCCTAAAGCTCTGTGGGACACGTGCAAAGAGACATTTCCTTTGCACACTCCCTTTGATCTGTCTGAAAACATCTTGTCTCTTGCAGGCATCTGAAGTTGAGAGGCAGCTCTCCATGCAGGTCCACGCTCTCAGAGAAGACTTCCGGGAGAAAAATTCATCCACCAACCAGCATATCATCCGGCTGGAGAGCCTTCAGGCCGAGGTGAGTGAGACCTCTGCATGGCCACACTTGAAACTGTGCACTGGGTCTTCAGAGTCCTGAGCCTGGGAATAAAACCCCTGCTCTCGATAAAACGTACTGAAACATCTCAACAGACGTCCCTGTGAGACCCTACGTGGGGACACCTGATCCTCGCTCCTGTGGGTAGGCTGTTGTCTGGAAAAATGAAGCTGTTGAAAATTACAGCTGAGGGAGTTGAAATCATGAATGACCTACTTTTTACTGAACAGTTGCTACAAGAAACAGCCGTGCTAGCCCCACACAGAAGCTAAGGAAGACCGTCGTCCCCTTCTTCATTCCTCTTAGGTCTAGCTCAGTATACCACCATGTTTTAGGTATCATACAAAGAACTCTCAGTAGTAACTCACGAGAAGCCACACAGAGTAGAACAGAGACTTCTGTTTTATAGAAGAGGGTACAGCAGGTGCCGTTGAAGGGTTAATAACGAGAGTACTTCGTGTGTTACCTGAGACGTGGTGGTAGTGTAACCTGTTCAAGGCCTTGGCAGCAAGGGTCTGTGCAACTGGCTAGACCAGGGGAAGAAGAACGTAGTGCCTGGGGAGTGGTCCTGTGAGCAGCATGGGGTCTGCACACAAAGCAGGAGCCATACAGCTGACTGGGACTCTTCCCAGGGCAGACTCCCACTCGATCCCTCTAGAGACCTCCATCCCTTTGGCTAGTGAGACTGAGAAACAGTAGAGCCAGACAGCAGGAGCCCCTGTTCTGTGACTCAGCCCAGAGATACCTTCCCTGCATCATAAGTGGCCTGAGGATGTGTTTCCTAAAGTCTGTCAATATCTTCTCTTTTCTGCCTCCTCTTCCCCTCTTCCCTCCTTTCCCTTGGAATTCCTACCGCTGTTGAGCAGCAGGTTCTTGAAGTAAGTAGAGATTGCTCCAGTGGGGTTTCAGCATGCCTGTCTGTGACCATGTGTGTGCATGACTTGCCATTCTCCCGCCCTGCCAGGCGCTCACTCCTTCAATGCCTGCCTTCCTCTTTGTTCCATGTTCACTTTCTCTAGCCCCTCAGGAACCAGTTTCCCAGAACTGTTTGCTGCCAGATTTGGTCACAAGTTTTAGGGTGTATAGGGGTTGGGTGAGGAAACTGGCACCCTAATGCCAAACCCTGGCTTTATCTATTGGCACTGCTGTTTGAAAGGCTAAGCTGTGAAATAATTCCTTTTAAACAAGTAACTTCCTGAAACCTGGAAATGTAAGTGTATCTTAAGGGCCAGTTATATATCAGAATCCTATTACCCCGTTACTTTACTGGAAACTGGGAAACAGAGATGATCCATGGGAAGGAGAATTGAAAGGTCAGAGGGCATTTACGTGAAAATGAACTACAGTGAAAATTCCCTTTGCATGGGTCAGTCTCCTTCAGTAAGAGGAATAGTGGGCCCATTCACCATAGGGGCTTGCTCCTTTTGATCTCTTACCCAGGTGCACACTTGAGAGACAATATTTCTTTGTTTGGACAGACACCTGATCTCTCTGGACAAAGGCCATATACCTCACTTCCCCAGGACAGCATCCTATCTGATTGTTTGGAGGCCAGGGAGGATCTGTGCCCTGAGCACAGCTCTAATGCAGGGTGGGAGCAGCCAAGAGGCAGAGGGAAAGGAAAGGCAGAGCCCAGAAGACATAGAACAAGTCACTTTTTAAATTTCCACTAGAAAAGTGCTGAATTTGGTCCCCAGAATTTACACAAGGAAGAGCCTTAAGACATTCTCAGGTTAGACCACAGAGGAAGAGAGCACCCTGACCATGGCAGGGGAGTATTTACGAGCATGCAGGTGGATGAGAGGTCATGATGTCAGGGAACTAACATGGGAGAAGCAGAGTGGGTGAGGACCTTCAGGATTCCAGAGGCCTTCCCTTCCCCCAAAGCCAGGGCTACTTGGGAAAGCTTTCTGGAACCCCTGGGCATGGCAGCGCCCTGGATAAGGCATTTCTGGACTTGAGGAGCATTGACTGAGCTTCCTCACTGGAAACCTGGAAGCCAGAAAAGACTAGGCATCTCTTTCTCAGCTTTCTCCCTGACACTGAAGAGAGCGGACATACCTTACAAGAGATGCATGTGTCTTGACACTGACTTCAATGTGCAAAAAAATTCAGCATTTCTCATAAGGGAGATTGTTGCTTCTTTTCACAGATTTACTTGTTCAGGTTAACCATGAGACCACTATCTGATTCTTTCCAGGCATGAGCTAATGTAGACACTCTACCTTCTGTACCCTTCTGGCATCTCATTAGCCAGGGCCCAGGGTCTGAGTTGGGATGGTAGCACCAGGGGAATCGGCAGTGGGAAGAGAAGGTGGAGAACCTGTTTGCAAGAACACAACAACTCTCAGGGAACGTCCTGGTGCCGCGACTTGGGGAGTAGGCAGATGAGGTGCTGCTCTGCCAGGCAGGGCTGAGGTCAGACGAGGCGGGGCCTTCTCTGACATCTCTGGAATCTACAGAGCACTGACTCTCCTTCGTCTGCCTGGCAGCCCACACTCTGGCTTTCCCTGGGCTAACTCCTGCCCCTTCCCAGACAGCTTGCCCTTCAGCCCAGGATTGTACAGCTCTGTTCTCCAAGATGAGCCCCAAGTCTCTAGGCACAATATCCAGAGACACATACCTTCATATTTGGGGCTAGTCCCTCCTCTTACACTCAGCCAGATAGAACGCTACACCATCCTGTGGTTCTCCGTCTTTTCAGATCAAGATGCTGTCAGATCGAAAGCGGGAGCTGGAGCATCGGCTCAGCGCCACCTTAGAGGAGAATGACCTGCTTCAAGGGACCGTGGAGGAGCTACAGGACCGGGTGCTGATTCTAGAAAGGCAGGGCCATGACAAAGACCTGCAGGTACGGGACAGAGAGGCTACTGCATAGAGCTAGGGCCAGACCGGGGTTGGGGGTGGGTGAGAGTACTTAGGCAAAAAAGAAAGGCCATGAGGCCACCACCACTGCTGGTGGCCAAGTAGGTGACCCTGAGATCTCCACATGGATCTTATACTTCCCTAGGGGACTCTAGCATACCTATAACTGGGTAAGTAATTGTTCTCGGATCACTCCTTCTGTGTGCTCTGAGCCACTGGTCCCTGAGCAGTGTCATACAGTTCTTTCTGGGCAGTTAATGCTGGAACACTCAGAGTCTCCTGCCCTAGCTAGCTAGCATTTGTGAAACCTGCCAGAAGATTTCAAAGGGAGCCCCTGGATCCCTGTTCCCAGCTCCCAGTGTTCCCTGCTGTTGCCCAGCACAGGGATTTAGTTGCCTGGCACAAAACAGAAACCAAGAACCTCTCTCAAGAACCCAGCAAGCATACTCAGCTTCTGCCTGTTGCAGAAAGGGCAGGCGCCAGCCCCTTCATGAACTAACAGATATTTAACCTCCCTAAGCCAACTGCTTCTTAGTCATGGCTGCCCTCGTTTGGGAACTGTCCCTAGGCTGCCATTGAAAATCCAAGCTCAGCCTTGGAAGAAAGAACAGACAAATAATCTCATAGTCTCCCCAGAAATATGGGGCCGCATTGGATCCCAAGGTGCTCTGCTGGGCTGGGCTGCTTCTGTAGAGTAGGGGAGAACATTATTTCCCTCTGGGTGGGTGGGGAGAGTACAGTGGGCTGTGTTGGTATCATTTGTGAATAATTGATTGGGCAGGTAGTACTTGAATGCCAGGTGAATCCCTACCCAAAGACCAGGCCACAGAGGCCCCACTGGGTTCAGAGGAAAGGTCTTCAGAGGTTGTTTTGTTTTGTTTTGTTTTTGTTTTTGTTTTTGTTTTTCAAGACAGGGTTTCTCTGTGTAGCCCTGGCTGTCCTGGAACTCACTCTGTAGACCAGGCTGGCCTCGAACTCAGAAATCCGCCTGCCTCTGCCTCCCGAGTGCTGGGATTAAAGGCGTGCGCCACCACTGCCTGGCTTCTTCAGAGGTTCTGATGTGGGATGACATTTTAACTGAGGCCAAGCATGGTGGGACATGCCTGAGATCCACTTTTAAGGCTGAATAAGGAGGCATTCGAGTTCAGAGTTAGCCTGAGCTGTGTTGCAGGTTCCCGGCTGGGCTAGGCTGTATTGAAACTGTCTCAAACAATAAAAGAAAACACCTTCTGAGTTTGGAGTCCAGGAACAAACAGCACTGGCACTGCCTCGGTTAGCTCAGCTGGCAGCTAAGCAGTTTACCTCTTTGAGGGTCATTTAGCAGGTTTTTTTTTTAAACCTTGGTGATTTTTGTTCCTTCAACTAATAATTTTCCATATAGTAGGGCCCCAACAAATGCTGACTAGAAAATGATTGTTGGGAGCATGGCCGGCAAGCATAGACCCTCATTTCTATCCCCAGTACCATGGAGTGGAGTGGGGAGGGATGGAGAAAGTGATGTGGGCCCTAAGGCCTGCCAGCAGGGTTTGAAGTGGAGAGAAATGTTTAAGATTGCAGCAGAGAGTGGTACAGGTCACTTTCAAACAAATGGAGAACTTCCATACACTTCTCTAAAGCCTGCAGAAAACAAACCATTTATCCAAAGTTACATACCATCCTTGATAGGATGGAGACTAGAAGCCCACCCCATCCCCTTCGGCAGTCGCTGATTTACCCTTGCAAGCGCTCCGTGGGCCAGCCTTTGGGTCCCCGTGAAGCACTCTGTGACAGACTATAGAGAAGAAAAGAACTACAAACCCACAAACAGTCCTTTACCAGAAAGAAACTTTGAGCCTAGCATGAATTTGCAAATCAAAATTATTTCCACTCCCTAACTGGGGACCTGGAAATGAGGGGAAAGAGCCAGAGCCACTGGGACCCTCGGGTGCTGCCTGGTGTGGGTGGGCGGTGTCCTGTGCATCAGGAACCTGAGGGCACACACTCATACGGGGCCTCTAGCAAGGCAGGACGGCCCACCCTTTGTGGAGAATCATACTTAGTCTCACCTTTCCTACTTGTGTGACTGCATCTGTCTGTGCCTTCTGTTGATGTAAAATCTCCTTGTCACTGGTTACCAGTGTCCTCCAGAAAGAGTCAACAAGATGGCCTTAAATGACAGAGGAAAAACTCCAGCTGACCCAGGTAGACTTGCACAGCCCTAACCCAGATTTGTAAAGTGTTGAGTCAGTGGCCTTGGAATGTGTTTAATCCCTTGATTGAAAACCCTCAGATAAGGGCGGTAGGAGGCTGAGCAGGGAGGGAGGCAAAGGCCTCCATCGGCAGGAGAGCCCTTTGATCTGCTTCACAGTTGATTGGTCTGATTGGTCTTGCTGTCAAAAATCTTTCTTTACATTTGTGTGTGTGTGTGTGTGTGTGTGTGTGTGTGTGTGCGCACCCATGTGCATGTGTGGTGTTGTATAGGTGCACAGTGCACATGTGGAGGCCAGAGAAGAATTGCTCTGAGTCAGTTCTCACCCTCCAGCATGTGGGTCTCCAGGATCAAATGCAGGTCATCAATGACAAGAGCCTGTGCCCACTGAGCCATGTCTCCCACCCCAAAACAAATGTTTAAGCCACTGATCAAATTCAGCTGTGGTTTTTGGTTTTTTTTTTTTCCTAAGGCCTTATAATAGGAATTAAAACTCACTGCTCGCTTCATAACAAGCATTTTGCTAAACTTTGTTTGCTTTTGTTTTGTTTGAGATGGAGTCTAAGGTTAGTCCTGGGTATCTTAGACGTTGATGGGAAACCAGAGCTGGCTCTGGACTCACATCAAGCCCCCTGTCTCTGCCTCTCAAGTGCTGAAATCACAGGTACATGATCCAGTCCTGGCCTTGCTAAACCCAGCAAAGGACTTGGCTTTGATCCTCAGTTGTCCTTCTAAGGGCACTTGGCCCCTTACAGAAGTGCATAGGGCCTGACCCTTACAGAAGTGCATAGGGCCTGACCCTTAAAGTAGTGCATAGGGCCTGACCCTTACAGAAGAGCATAGGGCCTGACCCTTACAGAAGTGCATAGAGCAAATGGATGGGTGTCATCAGCTCACTGTGGGGTAACTCATAAACCACATATGTCCTGGGGACTAGGCTTTTCCCTGACTCTGATCATGTACAGCAAATCACGGTCCCTCACACTGTCTCAGCCCCTCCGTGTTGAGAGAATGTCCTCCTCACTTCTCTGCTTCAGTACTGTGAGCTTAGACTTACCACAGTGTACTAGTAAAAAAGCATTTCCTGTCATCCTTTTTCGTACATAGAAATACACTGCTGTCTTTCTCACACAAAGATACTATTTTTTTTTCCTTCTTTTCTGCTTGAGTCAGAGTTCCTTGGCTCTCCTGGAATTCGCTCTGTAGACCACGGTGGCCTGGAACTCAGAGATCCGCCTGCCTCTGCCTCGAGAGTGAGGTGGTTAATGGTGTATGCAGCCATGCCTGTCTTGATATATTTTTACATTACAGGACCCCTACAGAGGCCAGGCTCTTCCTTGGTTTGATCTGAGTTTTCTGCACATCTGTCCAGGTGGTGAATCAGTCACTGACCAGAGAATGAGGCACCTCCTGGCCTTTTGTTCTCTTGCTGTTACACTTAATTACATGTCTTTGGGTGCATGAGTAACTGAACTAATTGTGTCCAGTGTGTACCTGTAGTTAACTGTGGGACCTTCTCCCGCTGAGATGTCTGTGGAGTTTCCTAGAGAATAATTGTAAAGCACTTGGTGCTTAGCATGCTGCTTGTAGCTGTGCCAAGTGCTTCCTAGGAATGTCTCTCTAGTCCCTGTAACCCTGGCTTGTTTTGTTTTCTCTTTCTTTCCTTCCAAGTTTTTTTTTTTTTTTTTTTTCAAAAACTGGGGCTGGAGGACATCCCACTGTAGCAGCAGGTGTTGCTGATCCAGGGACAGGCAAGCAGCTCGCCAGGTCTTGTCCTGTCAGCAGTTGGGCTCCAGCCCTTCCTAGTTAGGGCTCACGCAGGCCACTCCCTCCCTGGCAGTGATGGGCCGAAGGCGAGGCCCCAGGCATTTAGAGGATTGGCTCAAGTCTCTGAAGCACTGGCTCCTTTCAGGAGAACCAGAGCTCGGAGTCGCCACCACCCACCCAGAGCAGCTGTGTCTGAGGCGGCACAGCAGCTTAGTGGAAAGTCTGAAGAATGCAGCACAGCCCACTCCTCAGTGTTGGCTGGGTCCCTAGGCCTTGGGCATGCAGGGCTGTCCCTCCAGCACAGAGCTGTGCTGCCAGCCAAACCCTGGCTGTTAACTAATGCCCACCTGAGTCTGGGAAACATACATGCTGTGCAGCACCACAGACAGCTGTTTGTTCTGTTTTTGTTTTTTTGTTTGGTTGGTTGGTTGGTTGGTTGGTTTGGTTTGGTTTGGGTTTTTCGAGACAGGGTTTCTCTGTATAGCCCAGGCTGTCCTGGAACTCACTGTGTAGACCAGGCTGGCCTCGAACTCAGAACTCAGAAATCCACCTGCCTCTGCTTCCCAAGTGCTGGGATTAAAAGGCGTGCGCCACCACCGCCCGGCGGCTGTCATCTTCTTAATAATTATTGTTAACCTTTATTTTATGTATACGGGTGTTATGTCTGCGTGTCTGTAGACCATGTGCATGCAGTGCCCTCAGGGGCCAAAAGAGGGCATCAGGTGCCATGGATTAAGAGTTACAGACAGTGGTGAGCCACCATGTGGATGTTGGGAGTCAATCCTGGGTCAGCTGGAAGAGCAGCCAGTGTCCTTAACCACTGAGCCGTCTCTCCAGATCCCTCCACTTTATTGCTTGAGGCAGCACCTCTTACTGACCCTCTCATCTCGCTGGGAATGTACACTTCAGAATGGAGTTGCTGGGTCATTGAAGAATCCACGTTTAACTTCTAAAAACTGCTGAGGAGGGCCGGCAAGATGACTCCGTTTAAAGCACTGACCCCCGTATGAGTGTCACGGCAAGGTCATATCCATATTCCTGCACACACAACACAGCATACATAACACATAGAATAAACTTTCAGTGTTTTTTTTTTTTTTTAAGACACTGCTAGGGACTTTGCTAAGTGTGAGCTTTCCGCTCTCATTGAGAGTGAGAGCTGTGACTGTCCCCATTGTCATCAGTGCTCGGTGGTCCCAGTTATGTAGTCACTGAGGTGCCCATTGCTGCGGGTGTCGGTGTTCTGCTCTGAGGGGCTGCAGAAAGCTCAGTAGAGCAGCAGTCAACATAGTGGTTGCCAGGGAAAGTCACCCGAGGATGCTACCATTTCAGAGGCTTGAGTAAAATTACAAAGTTCAGATCACCCTGAGTTACATAGAGAGGCTTTATCACAAGAAGGGAAGCAGAGGGATTTAAAAATACCAAAAACTATGATATTTAAATTGACCATTACTTCATAATACCATACTTTTCTCCCCTCCCCACCCAAGACAGGGTCTCATCATGTAGCCCTGGCTATCCTGGAACTCACTCTGTAGACCAGGCTGGCCTTGAACTCACAGAGATCCACCTGCCTCCCAAGTGCTACGATTAAAGCCCTATACCACTATGCCTGCCATCATTTTTTTTTTTAAATCAAGATATAAGACCTCTTATACTTGAGGTTTTTTTTTTTTTTATACCTTGAGATTTTTGTTTGGTTTTGTTGTTGTGCTGTTGAGACAGTGTCTTTTTTTAACTAAGCTGTGTTCATCACAGTGGCTTCCTGAGTCTTTTTTTTTTTAACATTTATTTATTTTAAGTATGTGAGTAAACTGTCACTGTCTTCAGACAGAACACCAGAATTGGACATCAGTTGTGATGTTCTGATTACAGATGGTTGTGAACCACCATGTGGTTGCTGGGAATTGAACTCAGAACCTCTGGAAGAACAGTCAGTGCTTCTTAACCACTGAGCCATCTCTCCGGCCCGCCTTGAGTCTTGTGAATCACTAGGTTCTTCGTTAACTTTTCCCCTGAGGTTTCTGAAGAACTGGAGTTGTTTTGTTCTATTGAATTTCCCAGAGCTGGGTCTTGCTGACTGGATCCCCCATACAACCTGATTCATGTTCCTCCTGCCTCTGTTTTCGGAGTTGTTGGCAAGTGTAGCCCCAGGGTCAAGTCCTGGGCCCTGCGTGCTGTGCTGTGGCCAAGCCGCCCAGCCTGTGCTTTCTTCCCCATAGCTGCACCAAAGCCAGCTGGAGCTGCAGGAGGTCCGGCTGTCCTACCGGCAGCTGCAGGGCAAGGTGGAGGAACTCACGGAGGAGAGGAGCCTGCAGAGCTCGGCCGCGACCAGCACATCCCTGCTGTCCGAGATCGAGCAGAGCATGGAGGCCGAGGAGCTGGAGCAGGAGAGAGAGCAGGTGCTCATGTCCCCGCTGTCTGGCAGAAGTGGGCCCCCAGTTCTCTTCATCCTCTTCAGCACTGTGCTGCCTGCCCGCTGCATGGGTTCCGGTGGCCACAGGCTCCAGTGAGACTCGCTCACTGGTCAGCCACTGAAACCTTGAGGGGAACAGCCGGAACAGTGTCCTGCTCAGTCTGTCCCCTGGGCCTCTGGGGTGATCCAGAGTCCACCTCTTCTGTGCCTCCATCCCCACTCCTACCCACCCAGGCTCTGACGCAGCCTGTGCAGCCGCTCATATGTGACAGAAATAGTGGGGTAGAAAGTGAGAGAACAGGGAAAATAAGAATTGGGAATAGCTGGTCACCAGCACAAGGAAGATTGGGGCAGAGCAGTTACGGCAGGCTAGGTCCAGGCCAGCCAGGGCTACATAGTAATCTCTAAAAGAATTGAGCATGGTGGGGGTGGCACATGCCTTTATTTCCAGGACTAGGGAGGCAGAGATGAGCAGATCTCTGTTCAAGGCCAGCCTAGTCTAGAGAGTGAGTTCTAGGACAGCGAGGTCTAAGGAGATGTACTAACTCCAAACTAAGTATTTTTTGGGGGGTGGTGGGGTGGGGGGATGTTTCGAGATAGGGTTTCTCTGTGTAGCCCTGGCTGTCCTGGAACTCACTCTGTAGACCAGGCTAGCCTCGAACTGAGAAATCCGCCTGCCTCTGCCTCCCAAGTGCTGGGATTAAAGGCGTGCACTACCACTGCCCGGCTCTAAGTATTATTTCTTAAGATGTTTTAAAAACCGGAACCCTCGCTCCTAAAAACAGGATTTCAGGTACCTGTGTTTGGGCTTAGGTGCTGACTGACAAGTCCTCTCTAGAGTCTATAGTGACGGTAACACTTTGTGACACAGCTGAGGCTGCAGCTCTGGGAAGCCTACTGCCAGGTCCGCTATCTGTGCTCACACCTTCGAGGGAATGACAGCGCCGACTCAGCCGTGTCCACGGACTCCTCCATGGACGAGTCTTCAGAGACCTCCTCCGCCAAGGACGTGCCTGCCGGCAGCCTGCGCACTGCCCTCAACGATCTCAAAAGGCTGATCCAGAGCACCGTGGATGGCATGGAGCCCACGGTAAGGACCGGCTACCAGATGTGCTCACTGTGCGGGAGAACTCAGTGTAGACGGCACAGGAAGCCTGAGCTGGGGCCGCTTTCATCACTTGTCAGAATCCTGAGCCATTAGTTTGAGAGTATTGAGTACCACTAACCAGGAAGTTGGTTCCATGGTCCCCTTCCCGCAAGTACTACCCAGGAGAGGGGCTCTCAACCTTCCTATCGCTGCAACCCTTAAATACAGTTCCTTATGTCGTGGTGACCCCAACTGTAAAGTTATTTTCATTGCTACTTCATAACAGTAATTTTGCTAGTGTTGTGAATCGTGGTGTAAATATTTTTGGAGATAGAGGTTAGCCAAGGAGGTTGCACTCCCCAGGTTGAGAATCATGAATTCCACGGTATAGTCCTGTTCACCATAGAGTTTGCACAAGGCACCAGTGGCCCTGAGTTGGAGGGTTTCACTCAGAAAGGTCATATCTAGGTAAACTCCCGAGCTGTTCTCTGTGGCTGGCCCTGATAGGATAACTGTAGGTTGGCAGAATTTAAAACTAAGGTTTGCCAAGTGTGGTGGCTGACAGCTTTAATCCTGCACTCTGGAGGTAGAGGTACGCAGATGACTGTGACTTTGAGGCTAGCCTGGTTTACATAGTGACTTCTAAGACAACCAGAGCTGCATTGTAAGACCCTGTCTCAAAATAAACACAAACAACAACAATAAAAACCCTAAGGCTTCTTTCTAGGAAAATCTCAGCACAGAAGGTTAAGGAGGCAAACAGGGCCCTGAGAATCCCAGACAAGGCCTCATGTGGGAAGAAGAGGGATTCTCTTCTGCTCCCAGGGTGGCCTGGCATGTCCACAGAGTCACGATGGGTTTCTCCATGACTTTTCTCCCACCTCACCCTTCCACAGAGTCGTTACGTCTTTGTTATATTAGAGGCAGTAAGATGAAGGACAGATGTTTCTGTTGTAGAGGCCAAGTCATTGTGGGATAGGGAAGGTGTCAGTGCTGTGTGCCATTCATAACATCTGCAGCTGCTTCTCCAAAGCTTGAAATAGAAACAGACTTTTATAGGGTAAAATTAAACACAAGTCCCACTTGCCTGACCTGTGTCATCCTCCCTGCCCGTCTGTCCGTCCTTCCTCTTCATCTTTCCGTTCTCTGCGTTGTGTCTCCTCCGTTGCTGTCCCCACTAACTGTTGCTCGTTCCCCCCACCCACTACGGCTTACCTCTCTCTGTCAGGGCACCCGGAGGATGGATGATGAGTCCTTAGAAGAACAAATAAGGCAGACCAGTGAGGACTCAAGAGCCCTGAGGGAGCTCATGGAGGGAGAGAGGGGTAAACTGAGGCAGAGCCTAGAAGAGCTGCAGCAACTCCACAGTCAGGTGAGCACCCCCATTTCACAGTGCAGAGAGTGTGTACAGGGTCTTTACCTAAAGCGCCCATTTGTGTGAGATGCAGCCCTCCTCCATGCCGTTCCAGGGGACTGGGCCCAACCGTGAGGAAGTGGGTGCTGACCACTGACAGCCACAGCTCCCAGGTTGTGTTGTGGGAGCTGTCAGGTCAAGGAACAATTGGTCTTTAAGGTGTCGGCTTCATCCCCTCTGGGAGCCTGCTTTTCAGCTCTGGAAACTTCTGTTGCCCTTATTACTGTTCCTTCCTTGCTCTGTCATGACACTACCTCTCTGTGGACACTAAAGGAGATTAATGTTCTGATCTGAAAAATGTTAAAGAACTTAGATGTTCCACCCAGAAAGACACTTTTAAGGTCTGTCCTGAGGCAAGCTTCCTCTGGACCAGACGCACATGCAGGAGTGACAACTTGGAGAGCACCTCCACCCATCCTGGACCACTGCATCGTTCTTCTGTGTGGGGTTGATACACAGCTTTCCCCTTGGTGACATGTTCTTACACCTAAGATGCCTTCGTTATAAACCGGTGTCTCTTTCACTGTCCTCTCGGATGAATATGGGGAGGCCCATCTATGGCCGTCACTACTCTCCCGTGAGAGGCCAGAGAGCAAGGGTGATGGTCACAGCTGCGGCCTGCTCCTGGCCACATGCTGAGGGCTGGGCTAGGTAGCCTAAGGCATGATCCCACCTAAAGTCTGAGGTCCTCAGAGAGGAGTCAGTCATAAGGACAGCTCTTCTAAACTGAGGGAATGAAATACAAGAGACGTTGGATCTGGAAGTTCTCTAAACAGGTCCAGCTTGGTGGTGGGAGTGTTGACTTGCAGCTGCAAGGCCCTGGCTTTAATCTCCAGCACTCTCAGGAGGAAAAGAAAAGCTTGTTTAGAGGTTCTCTGGAGCCGGTGGCACATGCATGAAATCAAAGCACTTGGGAGGTGAAGGCAGGGGGATTAGGAATTCAAGGTCATCCTTAGGTATATGGCGAGTTCATGGCCGGCCTGGGCTACTCCACACCTGTCTCAGTGTTCTTTAGATTCCAGCTTGTATTGTTGGTAGGTTGGTTTGGAAATGGAGTGTCACTGTTTTGCATTTCCTAGCCTTGAACTCTTGGGCTCAGTAAGTCCTCTTTCCTCAGCCTCCCAAGCATAGTTCAGTGTTCCTAATTATTAAAACAAAAAAAAGTGCTTGCTTATTGCTTATTGTGTTTTGATAATTTTCTAAAAATTTTCCTTTGGCTTTTTCACCTCCCTGGAGGACATCATTTCACTGAGAAGAGCAGTTTGAATGCAGGTCGTGCAGAGTTTGGTGCGGAGTTAGGAAGCCATCTGTACTACACACGTTGATAGCCAGGCATGGTGGTGCACTCCTCTGATCCAGCACGTGGGAGGCAGAGCCAGGCGGATCTCTGTGAGTTTAGGGCCAGCCTGGTCTACACAGTGAGTTCCAGGACAGCCAGGGCTCTCATACAGTGAAACCCTGTCTCTAAAAGAAAGAAGAAACAAAACAATAGTTGGTTTGATGACTGGTTTAGTCCAGTTCCTGTGAGCTCCCTTTCAGAGAGTGTTCTAGGCTCTACTCATGTTCCACATGAACTTGGACTTCTTTTCCAGAGGACTCAAAAAAGAAACCCCTCAGCCCCATATGCACCCACTAGTGGACACTCATGGGAGTTACACTAGCACCCAAGGTTCCGGCTTCAGATGGGATTTTGTGGTCCAGGATGACTATAAAAATAGCAGCAAACACCTAGGGCTTGTATGCCTCATGCAGGGTTGGTTCACATGTGACCTCCATATGTATGGCACTGAGCCTACCAGCAAGCACATGTGATAGCTGTGTGGAACACCTGCAGCCTAGAGTCTCTCATGATGTCGGGAGGACAGCAGGGACTATCTCTGTGCTCTCTGTGGGGAGGCACAGACAAGGTTAGCTGGCACTGAGATTCCAAAAACAGCTGGACCAAAGGTTGAGCCTCATCCAGTCAGCGATCTGGTCTCTAAGCCCATTGTTTTCCCACTTGGGAGTGTTCTTTACACCCCCAGGAAACTGGGCCAGAAGTCAGTGTGGCGTGCTGCACCCTCAAAAACTAACCAGACTTTTAAGTAGAAGAGTGCAAATTATTTAACTGCTAATTTATCTGTTTGAGGCAAAGACCTATAACCAGCATGAAGACTTGCCTGGCTCTCACCCATGACCTCTGTCCTTAGCATCCCTCTTGCATTGATGGGGACAGAGCAGACACCAGCAGATGGACTGGGTCTTCAGGATTAATCACGAGTATAAAAGACAAGCACCCGGGAGCTGGAGAGACGGCTCACAGTTGGGAGCACTTGCTGCTCTTGCAGAGGACCCAGGTTCAGTTTCCAGCACCCACGTGGTGGGTCGCAGCCTACTATAACTCCAGTTCCTGACACTCTGTCCTGATCTCTGTGGGCCTCTGGCGTACACACAGTGCACACACCTACAGCCAGCTACCTTCACATGGTGACCGTCTTCCTGTAGTGTGGCTTGAGAGCAGGGGACCTCATGAGTCGTGGGCAGTGTCCATATCCAGACAGAAGTCGTTAGGTCCTGGCCACCGTGTGCTCCCGCATGCTGCCAGCCTCCTTTGTCCCCTCCCGCTTGGCCTCTGTCTGGAGGACGCCCTCCTGGCTGCTCCGGCCTCCACCCTGCTCGTCCTTCAGTTGCAGAGCAGATTTCACTTCCTTCTTGGTACTGATCTTCCTGGACCCTGCTCCACCTTACCGTGGTGACTGTGTCCCCATGTTATCTTCCAGTCTGGCAGACGACAGACCCCATGATGACCGCAAGTGCTAACTCAGCGTTTTCTCCTGGAGTCCCTAGCACAGGCCACTGGACAGAGCTCCAGCAGAGATTCAAATGGTGGTTGAAGGAAAGAGCAAGTTACATGGCTTTAAGGGTGGGCTCTTAAGTACTATTTAGTGATGAGGGCCTCTGTAGGGTGTAACCTAAGGGCCTGCCTAGACAAGCCAGAGCCACTTGGATGCAGCCATCAGATCCAGCCTTAGTGAGGAGAGGGAAGAGCACAGCCCACAGCCACAGTTAGGCCTTGCAGTGGCACCGTCACCACAGTTAAGCCTCACATAAACTCGTTGTGGGAGATGGAGTTATTTCCTGATTTCTACAGCCCTTCCTAAGCAGTTGGCTGTTGGGCTCTGGCTTCTTCAGGTTTTCTAGACCACGGTGGAAAGTTTTTCTGGATTTTGTTTGACACATAGGTGTTGGTTAGTGCTGTCCAGTATTAGGCCCAGCATGTGGTTTCAAAACCTATCTACCCCTTACACAGTTATCCTGAAGCCGTACCCACACTGCTTTGTTCTGCAGACATTTGTCCTTGCCACGTGCTTTCTAGGTCGTGGGGCAGGCAATGAGGCTGCCAAAACTGCTAGCACCTAGGGTAAGGCTAAACCTCTCCCCAGTCACCTCTACCTTGGAGCTAGAAGCATATGCAAATGAGAGTTTGCAGAAACTCCCAGTGCTTAGACTCCTACACCAACCACACCATTAGCTCTGAGAAAGTTGGAGTTCAGTCTGCAGAGCATCAGGCCCAGGCCCTCACACTCCCTTATCGGGCTCGCAACACAACGTTTGAGGTTAGGGGAGAGGCTCAGCAGTTAAGAACGCTGGCTGCTATCCCAGAGGGCAGGGTTTGAGTCCCAGCACCCACACAGCAGCTTGGAACTGTCCATAACTCAGTTGCAGGGGTCCAGTACTCTTCTGGCCTGAGTGAACACCAGGCATATATATAAATGCCCGGTTCGCAGACATATGAGCAGCAAACACCCACCATACACATAACATTTTCCCGTCTTCTGGCCTCATCACTGGGTGTCTTCTGCATTCATGCTAAGTAGCTGCTGGCTCTGTCTGGGACCCTGACCTTCAGTCTAGTCTTGGAGTCAAGGCGGCAGCTGCTCCCTTAAGAGGAGGGAGCAGATCTGTGTGGACGGATCTTGCCTTGGAAAAATGTCAGTTGGGTGTGTGACGCTTACCAAGAGGGTGTGGTTGGCTTCCTATTCATGTGCGGTCCTATCAGTCTGTATTGCTTAGCTCAGTTACTGAAACCTCTAGAGACTGGTTGCGCACAGCACATTTGCTTTGCGTAACTTAAGTAGAGAATGAAGGCACCGCATTAAATCTGATAGCCTGTAGGATCAACAGCAGGACCAGCCGGAAGGATAACTCAGGTCCCAAACAGAAAGGGAGGAGTCACGGGAAGAGAGCGGCAGAACCAGCGCCTACTCAGGCGCAGCTCCGCGTCTCCCAGGTCTACAGCGGGGGGATGGGGGAGACCTCTACTTCACACCAGACTGCAAAAGGAAGTAGATATCTTCCTCATCTGGCTTTTCTAGTGTGAAGTCATACTCTGTCCCCACCCCCTAACCCCCAGCAGGACATAGAATCGGGGATGTCCCCACATAGAAAAAGTTTGGATTGATGACTACCTCAAAAAGTCAGCTGATCAGTACACGGGTGCTTTAGGATTGAGTCCCACTCGAAGCCACACTCTGGGATGTACAGGTGGGGAGGACATGCTTCTGAGTTTATGGTGTGCATGAGGTGGCACTGCTGTGGGGTGAGCGGAACCCGTTGCTGATGCAGCCACCGGTGCAGCCCTTTGTTGCCAAATGATGACTCCCAGGTTAGTTGTGAGGACCGAGCAGGTGCCGTTTACTGAGGCACAGCCACAGGAAAGGTAATAGAGCCAGACTGACAGGTCATGCATGTTGAAATTCCATGTGGCTTTGATCTGTGCAGCTTGAATGGGAAGATGAAACCAGGCCGGAGGTTGAGACCCTGCCTCCAAAACTATGTTCCAGAGCCCTGATGCAGATGGGGGTCTCTCACTGTCTCCCTGGAGGGTCTCTCAGCCAGAGCAGGGGTGCGATGTGCTGAGGACACGGGGAATCTGGGTCCATGGCTGCACTGCATGGTTCAGCCTCCCTATAGTGTGTGTGTGTGTATGTGTGTGTGTGTGTGTGTGTGTGTATGGGGGGGTCTTGTTACGTAACTGCAGGACCAGCCTGCTCCCCGTACATGCCCCTGGACATATAGACATCTTGTTTAAATTTTTATTTTTAGGAATTCACTTTATCCGTAGTTTTATGTGTATCAGAAAGGGATGTTGGAAACCTTCAAGATGGAGTTAGGGCCAGCTGTAAACTGAGGGTAACTAAAAAAACAAAAAACAAAAACCCTTGGGTCCTCTGAAAGAGCACAGAGCGTTCTTAACTGCTGAGCCGTTTCTCCAGCCCCTGGAGAGTGAGGTGGAAGTCAGAAGACAACTTGTCAGAGTCCGCTTTCTCCTCCCGTCTGCATGTGGGTTCGGGTTGTCAGGCACACATGGCAGGCACCTCTACCTGTGGGTCCATCTTGCTGGCCTCTGAGTGCCTTTTCCTTGAGAAAGCAACTATCAGCAGCAGCAGGCACATTTATTTCTCTGTGACCTGTTGCTAGGTGACACTGCTGAGCGTGGAGATGACTGCACTGAAGGAAGAAAGGGACCGACTCAGAGTGACATCTGAGGACAAGGAGCCGAAGGAGCAGCTTGAGAAAGCCATCAGGGACCGGGACGAGGCCATTGCAAAGTGAGTGACACGGATCGTCTGTTCTTACTCCCTTCTCTTTATTGGTGTTTGTATTGTGTGCAGTGTGTGTGCAGTGTGTGTGTGCAGTGTGTGTGTGTGTGTGTGTGTGTGTGCAGTGTGTGTGCTGTGTGTGTGCAGTGTGTGTGTACGGTGAGTGCAGTGTGTGCAGTGTGTGTGTGCAGT